CAGAACTCAAGTTGGGACTTAACGATTAAAATGCCGTATGACAATCACTGTCGATGAAAAGTTTAACGAATTTAATTTTAAGCATAGCTGACTGGCTTATTCAATAATAACTTAGAGCGATAAAAATGAATAAAATACCTCGTTGGTCAAAAGTTTATTAAGGCTTGCAGTTGTCGAAAGCACTACTGGGGATATTATTACAGGACATGTCTCAAATACTCCTTTATAAATACTCCTCCCTGCTTTGTTTAAACTGACACGAACTACTCATAACATTCCTACATAGTATAAGGAGTAATTATCACAACTACAAAGCTTAAAGTAGTGTCGCCTTTAGTCAAAGTAGTGTCGCCCTGTAAATTTTCAGTGACTGGGAAACTTTGTCATTAAGTTTTAAGTATGGCCTCTATAGGTTTGGCTACCGTGCAGCTTCGATGTGGCAACCGTACGGACACCGAATACCAAATTACACAATTTGAATTAGACTGTGACTGTCATATATTTCAGTAATAAAGTGCGGGTCAACAGTGAACGTGTCCCTTTTCCAAGTATATGATAAAGCTGCAGAACCATATTCGCACGGTGGCTTCAATGTAACGGTTACGACTTTCTTAAGAACCGCGCTGAAATAATGAAGAAAGAAGGTCGTTAGAACAAGAAAATAATCGCAAAACCAAGAAGCACATTTTTAACAAGAAGTACCTTAAATTTTTGTTACGGCAAGTAGCCTGTAACAGTCTACATGGATCCCATAAAACTACATACTGAGATTTGATAAGCCGAACAAATTCCATCTCGCTAATTTAAGTTCAGATTTCCTCAGCTTCTCGTGGAATGTTTGCAATATCTGAGGAAAGACGAATCAAAGAAGACAGCTTAGGTAGACAAATCTATACTGCAAGGACCGCATACTGTAAACAAATATAATAGTAGATGTAGAGACTGGTACAGCAGGACTCTTAAAGAAATACTATCCTATCGGGAAAAGCAAGGTAAGTAGCGTGGATAAAACCACATCGGATATCTACTACATCTTGCCGGTTTTCAGTGTGAAATTAGAATGTTACTTTCACACTGCTGGTATGTTAATGAGTGAAATCTTCGAGGTTAGCGGGACTTTGTGTTTTCGGAGGATAGCTAAGGCTTTTTAGGTAGTTTATATAATATTCTTGTTATATTCTGAATGCCTATATCGGTTTAGTACTTAAGTAGTTAGTAGCAAACGGGTCCGGGACTATACGGCGTAAGAATCTACGGCGTAAGAATCTACGGCGTAAGACTCTAACCCTAACCCGCCGTAGAGTCTTACGCCGTAGAGTCCGGATCCCGTAGCAAACGACAACGACAAACATTGTGAATATGTCAGTATTACAACCCTACGATTACAATACTACAATCGTGAAACTCATCTATAGTCACAACAAGTGCATTTATGCCATGTTTGAATGACCTATAATTGTCAACCCAGCTTTGAAAGAGAGCTTGACCATACATAAAACCTCGTACAGCACATGATATTACGATACTATTTCCGAACCATACTCGCATTGTGGCATTCAAGAGAATCCCGCGATCATTACTTGGCGCGGCGCCAGTCTCTCACTCCACCGACCTTCCGATCGTAATAGTTGGTAATAACGAAGTCTGAGGTCTTCAGGAATCAGCAACATTCCACTGCCATGCCGGAAGAAGCTGTGATCTTTATAGCACTGTGTGAAAATTACTGTTTGACAGATTTTGATGAAGTTTTGACAGGTTCCACTGACGTTTTGACGCTCCCTTGCCTTGGTATTTCAATGAATAATCGCGAATAACTGCGAACATCTGCTGCTGTATTCACATCCAACTGCTACCCTCGTATCATAAAAAATCAACAGAAAAACGATTAAGGTATAGTTACAGTAGAGCAGAAATACAATACTCTGCTCGAACCAAGGGCCCGACTTTTGTCAAGTCACAACACCCTAGGTAACGTCAAACGTAGCCAGATTTTTAATTATCCTTGTCCTAAAAATACCAAGGAGCTGGAAATGAACAATAAACAATGGATCTTACTAAAGACAATGGGACTGTTAACGGCACTATCAATTAAGGAAAGATCTAGTGAGTCTTCTGAGAATTAAACATAATCAAAGATCTGGTATTATGGCAACATTCCCTTCGAAAAAAATACCGTCCCGAGGTTTGAGGGTCATAGAAACTAATTTGGCTGGGTTAGATTTTCTGGGTATGTGGAATTCTGCGCAATTTATCACGCCCATTTCGGCGCTTTTGCAACATCTTTCACTTAAATAGCTCTACTTCTGATCGGAGTAAGGAGCTTCAATGGGTTATGAAAATGTTCGGAATTATCACATTAAGGGGGATATAGCCTGGTTTTAAAGTCTTCAGACTTCAGGTTGCTAATTTATTACGCCACACCCAATTTTTGCGATTAGTTGAGTAGCTATAATTACTGCATTTATAACCATATATCTCTGTTTCTGATTGAGAACGGAGAAAAATATCAGAATCGTAGCGTTAAAAGGGGTAGAACTTGTAATGATCACACATGGCATTTTAAATAACCCGATTCATCTATCTTAATGGATACAGAAACAAAGGTATGGATGTGAATGGACAGTGGTGCTGGGAGGAGGCTCATCCCAATTCCCACTTCATCACTTACAAATACCAGACTATTGGTACTTGGATCCTGTCCATACTGGCACAAGATGTGACATTCTTCCGAGATAGGTACTAAATTGGCACCATTTAATGCTATTCAATCTCTTGAATGTTCTTTTAAGACTTCGGTAAAGGAGAACTTGTGGAATGTGGACCCATGCACCAAAACAGGGTTTAGTGTTGTCCAGCCCAAATGAATTCACAGGAAGTACAGTGATCACAGATCAAGAAATGCAAGGGGTACCAGGTAAAGTGGTCAAAGACCTCAAGCTTAAAACAGAATGTGTCAAATTTGAGCAAATTAATATGGAAACGATGATTCGGCTGCCGCCAAGATCGTATTCTGTAATCTGTTGTAAAAGTTCAATCCCCAGGGCCCAGATGGTACTGGCAATATCTCGTAAAAGATCAGTCTAAACCGAAAACACGTGCGCTTAGATCCTTTGTGAGTATAAATGGTGAATCATGCCAGTCAAAATGTCCTTCCTCTTGAAAAACTCACGGTTACTTTGCAAAAACAAAGGTTCTACCAAAAGATGTGATGGGGGGTTAAAATTCTCATAGAAAATGTGCTTTGCAACGATTATTGATATTGTGTCAGACGGAAGATTTGTTGCAACATGTCCACCTAAAATAAATCAGCAAGTATCTACTCGTGTAAAGACAAATTAAGATTAAATTTCGTTTACTGCTATGCTACAAATATTTTGAACATGTCCTAAAATTATACCTAATCATCAGGAAAAGAGAAGTGTCGCCAAATTCGAACAGTAATCAGTATTATAGGAGCTTTAGAATCTGTAATTACCATGCTCTACCCCCTTAATTAATCTTATAACTTTACAGGGTGAGTTGAAAATAGTGTATAAGTATAATTCTTAACATTCTCATGCTCTTACTCCAATCAGAAGCTGAGATATCTTGTTATCAATAACTACTTGCGAGAGCGAAGTATACTACTTGCGAGAGCGAAAAAAAAGGTACGGCCTAATAACTTGACAACCCAAAGTCTAGGCACTCTAAAACCATGCACTTAGCTCCCATCAGAAGCCGACACGGACATATCTTGTACCAAATACGTTAATCGCAAGAGCGCAAAAATTGGATGTAGCTTAATAACTCAACAACCTAAAGTCTACGGATTTTGTAACAATTCTCCCCCCCCCCCCCCCCCCCCCCCCCCTAAATAAGATAATATTGAACATTTGTATGCCCAAGATGAGCATTTTCCTCCCGCCAGAAGCTGAGATATCTTGTAAAAAGTGTGAAATTGGTACTCGCGAAAGCATTAAAAAAATGTGGCCACATAGCTGAACAACCCGAAATATGGGACTTAAAAACCATGATTTATAAACTTTATAAAAGCAATTAGATCGGAACGGGTTAATATTTTCCCAACGGTTCAAACCAAGATGAACATACCAACAACTAGTGAACACTATGTAACACTAAAGAGTAGGGGGTGACCCTACGCTATAGCGTGTCGATAATCACTTGTTGACTTCCGTTACAATTACCTAACTATATTTAGCAATAACTCGGAGGAAAACAAAATATTTGTACGGTGCCTCCCCACTTATAGCTCTGAAACTTGGCATAACTAGGTTTCTATCAGCACTAGTTTCCATCATCACTGACGGTGTAGTAAAATTCTTAGGTGTATTTGTTGGGGGAGTTGGGCATCAATATGGTCGTCTTGTGGGCAAAGTAGTGTTTAAAATAGTTGTGATGAGGTTATAATATGACCGACAGACTCTGATATGTTTGGAATTAACTGTGGTTGATTATAAAAGTTGATTGTTATTTGTTTGCTATGAGGGGATGAGAGATTATGTTTATTGTGGGATGATGAGTAATGGTACGTTGTGTCACTCTTGTGTGGTGGTTATGCGGAGTAATAGTACGTTGTGTGGTGGGAGGTAATAACGTGACGTCACGTGACGTTAGTAGCTGAGTAGAAACACGTTGCTCGGTACGCGTGATCTTCTTGATACTGAACTTGGTACAATACCAAATGCAGTGTTCGGTTGATTGTGAATAAGTATAAGTGACCGATTGTTGGACTTCAAATTAATCGTTAGTTACTGGTGTCCAATGTAAATTCAAGGGTAATACGATTAGCAGAATCGGATAAAATATGCTACAAATCAGTAAATGAGATCTTTGGTTTCTGAAATCGAATTCATACATGGTTCATTGGGTCGGTACCTGGCCAGGATGAATATCCTCTGGTTTTCATCCCTTCTCGGGTTGTGGGCAGTATCATTTAAAAATACTCAATTCTATAATACGATAATAATCTAAGATATAAAATAATTATTTTATATTTTCAGAGCGACGTACAATTGAACAATAAAATGCTTGCGGAGCTCTCAATTTACGAGCCAAAGACATTTGAGGTAAAAACTATTCGAAGGATTTTATAAATGTTTCTTTAATTTGAAAATCTTAAATGAATACAAATCGAGTTAAATTTCTGTTAAAGATAAGGTAAATAAGTAAAATGCCGATTACGACTAATAGCTGGTCGTCATTGTACCTATTTGCCAAAGGTAGTCCACGACTAATGTCACAGTAAAGTAGAGGTAAAAGTGAAACTTTATTTATTTCAAAGAAACCCAATGGGGTGTTAACATTCCAAAGATAATGAGTTAATCTGAACTAATTTAGAACTTGAAAAATAAGACACGCTATTAAACTTGACTCTGTTAACAAATATATCCATTCAACACTCTTATTAATAAACTTCCAGTCGTTGACGGAGGTAGCAAAACAAAAACTGAACGACCCTGGGAAAGGTCTAGAATGTATTCTGAGACCAGACAAACCTGGGATAGTCCACCGAACTGGTCTTGTACCCAATCACGCAACATTCTGTGAGTAGGACAATCTTTCTGAACATAGATAACTGCTGTATGCGTGTCTTAATTTAATCTGCAACCAATAAATTCTGTTAAATTAAACGCCTCTTTAAACTATTAATACTGCAGGTACTGGTTTAACGAAGCCAGAGTATGCTCAGGAGATCAGTGAACAAGTTCCCAGACAATCTGAGATTCCACCTCCCCACGGCTGGAGAATCACAGGTCTGTCTGTTTGTCAGTTTGTCTGTTTGTCTGTTTATTGTCCTCTGGGTCATACATCAGTGTACCGACGGCAGTACGGCGGCAGTACGGCGGCAGTACGGCGGCAGTACGGCGGCAGCACGGCGGCAGTACGGCGGCAGTACGGCGGCAGCACGGCGGCAGTACGGCGGCAGTACGGCGGCAGTGCCACGGCAGTGCCACGGCAGTGCCACGGCAGTATAGTGACAACACTTATATCAGACTTTTGATCCAATTATTTCATGAGTTTGATGATTAGTTCACATTGATTTGTCAATTTAAGAGACGATTTTGATGATTTGTCAATTAAAAACATATTTGGATAAATCAATATTAGTTGTAAATAAGTTCATACAATATCATTATAAATCAGTAACTGTCACCCTGGAGCAATAAAATAATTTACATTTAGAGAATCTTTCCAGCAGCAATTGCGAGTCGTTTCTTCTCCAGAAAGTCACTCTGCTTGAGGATAGCCCCACATCGGGCAGAGAGAATCTGCTGGTTGATCCTGTCAGTCCGCTCCTCCTTGAGAATCTGTTTGATGAGACTGGCGAATCGTGGTCTATCAAGGATAATCAGCTCTGCTATCTTCTTCTTGCGGTAGAAGGATCTTTCAGGGATTCGTTTCTGTTTCAGGAACTTTTAGAGGCTGATGGAGGTATCAGGACGGTTGGCAAAGTCAAAGAACGAGTCCGCGACTTCCTCAAAAAGATCGACAACATGGTTAACGCAGGAGCTTCTCTAGATGACGCTGTGAGTTACATGGGTATCACATCAGAGAAATACAAAAGATACCAGAAGTACCTGCAATGAATCTGAATTATTTTAATACTTTATTGCTCCAGGGTGACAGTTACTGATTTAAAGTTATGATATTGTATGAACTTATTTACAACTTATTGATTTCTCGAAATATGTTTTTAATTCGCAAATCAATGTGAACTAATCATCAAAATCATGGAATAATTGGATCAAAATTCTGATATAAGTGTTGTCACTATACTGCCGTGGCACTGCCGTGGCACTGCCGCCGTACTGCCGCCGTACTGCCGCCGTACTGCCGCCGTACTGCCGCCGTACTGCCGCTGTACTGCCGCCGTACTGCCGCCGTACTGCCGCCGTGCTGCCGCCGTACTGCCGCCGTACTGCCGCCGTACTGCCGTCGGTACACTGATGTATGACCGTCCTCTGTAGCTATTATTAGTTTGCATGATACGTACAACACCTGACGGACAAGCCAAGTATAGTTGATCCGAAGAATGCGTATAAAGGTATAATGAATCTGACACGGGGCCCTAGTACAGTGCCCTAGATGCCAACCCGGCCCCCCCTGCTCTAGTACACCTCCAGCTCTAACTCTCTCCCTCCAGGACAATACCCTGGAAAGAACCTGGTGCGTGCTGAAAGATACCACCTCAACCAACGCCCCAAAGCTCTGGACTACAAATACCTGCCTACCCCACTTAAAGAGAGAGAGGAGGGAGGGGAGGTCTTCCCTGATAATAAACAGGGCAAGAATTTCAAGTACTCTTGGAGGAAACAGCTTTCTGATCCCAAAGTTTACCAGAAGAAGCCTTGGCTTCCTGTTAAGTAGGGCTTACTCCTAGTCTAAGATATTCGGATGATATCGTCATTAAAGAGAAACTGTCACTAGGCTTTCGAATTTTTATTGAGGTAATCACTTTTTATATCATGTACGTGTTATACAATTGAAAAAGAAAGAAAGCTCAAGAAAGTACTAAGGTTATTGTAAGTAAATTAAGAAATGATTTATAAAATCATTCATCGTTTATTTAGAAGGCGCGTTATCTCGCCGGTCATAATAACCAAATTATGAAAATGGTGGCATCAGGCAAGGTTCATTCATAGCCTGGGCAGTGGGCAGTGGGCCTAACTTGATCAAATATTTAAAAGAGAAAAACCATGCACCTTATCTGTGTTTTTTGTTACAAACAACGGTCATAGGTCATGACGTATGACATAAATACGATAGGCAGTTATCGAAAAGTTTAGCTTTCTGGACGACTTTCGTACCTTTATGTTAGCTTCGTGTTGGTTCTTGTATGTGGATTTTGAGAAGTCTGACTGAGTTGTTTGTTAAAACATATGGCACTTTTAGTCCAGTCATTTATGTGTTTATTCTTTTTTTGATACGGAACTTTTAGTTTAAATGGTGAATCTATATTCTATAAGTTTGATATTTATGAACTTCAGTTTTATAAATTTAATTTATTTACCGCTACATTTTTGAGATCACAGCTTTTATTTTCTTGTTCAGCCTCATATCGGCAACTATTTCGCAGCGAAACCAACCAAACCCTCGGTTGATTTATTATGATTCTCCCCCTCCCAGACCCGGCCCGGGGCATGCAAGTACAACTATGTACAACGTTCCATCGTATATTCGCGTGACTTGACCATCCAGCCACAAACATTAACTGGCTCTGTGGAGTGCGGACCAATCACAACAAAAGCTTTTTCCAGTTGGATAGGTGTTAAAAAGCTGGGCAGTACGTGTAACAAAATGGAACAAGTAATGAAGGAAACAAGACTCTGAAAATCTTAGCTTTAGTTAATTGCACCAAGCGCTTTACTAATCAATTAGTTTCTGATAACATTGTGGTAATATAATTTCCCGAAGCTGCAAGATATTGCAGTTTTTAATTCCCGGGTGCAGATAATTATATAGACTTAAAATAGAATTAAAGTCGATGTACCAAGCGCTTAAAGGGCCGTTGCAATATATAAATCAATTTTATATTGGAAAAACCATTTAGTCTCGTCTAATAGACAATGTCCTTGGCAACACGATTTACCGTAATATATGTAGAGGCTGGAACAAGTTTGTAATGTTGGCGGGGACTAGCTCATGAACTATGTTGTTAAGTGCCATAATTTCGTTGACTTTTTCCGCAAAGTGCCCCTTGAAAACATCATATACTAGTAGAGTTTTCTGTGCCTCCGGCAGACCAAGGAGAACCTTTCCGTCGTTATAACTTACGGCAAAATAAAGTTCTCATAGTTGTCATGTTCTGGACAAAAAGTTCGAATTTTTGAAAAAAAATTCAACGGACTTAAACTTGGACGGACCTTAAATGAACGGACTTTATTTGAACGGACATTAAGACGAACGTTGAGGCCTCCAGCGTTCAATTAATGTCTGTCCAAATAAGGTCCGATAAGGTAGGTTAAGTTGAAAACGACATGTATTCAGCATGTATCTATGTGAAGAGCAAGCAGCCGTTTTCATTCGGGGTTTAAATCTCCAGTTTAACATTAAACGGTCGATACAATTACAAACCAATTTAATTTCAGTTTTCGTAAAGCTATCCAAATAGTAATACAATTATTTACATGGTCTGATTACAATAGCTAATTCCAATTTTATAAATCTATCCCTCCCACAGGTTACTACAACACTGGTTCCCTGCACTGTAAACTGATTGCTTACCTGACTCTCCTCGGGCTGTGGATAGTGCACTGGTTTTGCCAGGAATGCTGTAATGGTACCGACCCTTCCTGTTCACATTCTAAAGAATTCTGCCACAACGTTACTTTCACCACTTGTTTCCTGACATTGCCCTCCTTCCTTGTGTTTCATGGCACTGATTGTTTGGATTTCATAAAGTTGAGATGTGCTGTTAAGGTACCGAGGTTGTTCAATAATAAAGGGTACAGTGCTCTTCATGCTCAGACAGAATGAAGCTGAAGATGATATCAATGACAATACATAGAGCCGGTAGCTACCTTACCGAACTTTATTTGAACGGATATCAATTGGACGCTGGAGGCATCTATTTTAATGCATAATGTCCGTTGTCCAAGTCATGGTCCGTTGAAATTTTTTCAAAACCAATACCATGCACTACGAACTTATTGTCAAGAATATGATTATAACTACTTTTTATTTCTGTAAATTTTAACTTCTATTAATATTATGCCTATGCGGGACTAAATTATATAAACATTTTAACTGCTTAAAGTTAACGTTAACGACTACTTTCCTTGTTATCTGCTTTAACATTTGACTGACGGTGTCAACCCATCGATATCGTTGCTAGCTCTGCACTGCTGACTGCGAAGCAGAGCAACGATCGACGATGCGAAGCAAGAATGCTAGTTTGCGCGGCACGTCGAAGCGGCGAAGTCCTCCAACTTTAACATTTGATTGAAAAAAGCTCCAAAAGATGGCAAAACTCCTGATTTGTAATGGACAATGGTTTTTACTGGGCGGCGCTCAGCCTGTCATTCCGCCGAATCTTTATTCGGTTTATGTTTATAAACATAATACATAATAGCCTGGGGTCCCAGGTAACAATGGTTTAAGCGTTCATAATTTTATTGTCCGTTCATTTTATTGTCCGTTCAAACTTATTGTCATACGTTGTATGACCCGCTGCGCACGAGTGCGCGGCTCCCCCTGTATCTTAGAAACTAGAAACACTATATATACTTAATACTTATAGTTATAGTGAAACGGCGATGGGGGTCACGACGTGATACAACAAACTTACAGTTATTGCTTATGTCCGGTAAAAAACGTACGATAAAGTGAATGGAAATGGACATATTTAGTATTTACTGTTTAAAGTATTTAAGTTAAGATCTATCTGTCTATTGTTTGTTAATAATAATGACCTACCAAAACGCACACCTAATCTCTAACTCTCTAACTGAATTACATATTATATGCTGAAACTCTAACCCTAGGGGCCATCTACTTAGGATGTCCGGAAAATAGGGAGGGGGAGTGGTTTTGGAATTTCGGACAGGGGAGGGGGTTTTTGAAAATCCGGACGTCCAGAAAATTTGGCGGAATAAAAGAAAAAGTCCCATTTATTTCAACTCTTTGAATTTTATTTCAAGTTCAACTTTTAAAATTTTATTTCAACTCTTTGAATTTTATTTCGACTCTTTGAATTTTGTTAACAATGAATTTTAGTTGGTTTTATTTGTACCCTTAACACTTAAAAGTAGCTGGAAATCCGGACGTACCCGGGGGAGGGTTAATTAAAGATGTCATAACCCGGCCATCGAGATCTTTGCGCGTGGCAAGTTAATTGTTAATTGACGATGTCAATTCATGGCGGCGCGGCACAGTAGCGCATTTAGCACAGTAGCGCATCTCTGATCTCGCTGTGAGAAGCCTCATTGAGTGCGCGGCACAGTAACGCATCGCGCTACAACGTGGCAAGTGACCATGAAATGATATTGTCTATTGTTAATGGAATATCCTGGCGCGCGCTACTTGATCCTATAAGCAGTGAGCACTTGCCTCGGCAATTTATAGACGATTAACATCCGGGTAAAGTTTATATCCGAACCTACCAAGACGCGCGCCAAATTGGATTTGTCAATTAAATAGTCTTGTATATATATATATATATATATATTATATTTGGAACAAATATTTTACGAGTATCACCCGTTAATGATGTAATAAAAAGTTTAATTTTGGTTTTCAAAGAAACCATTACAGTTTACGAATCCATTGAAAAACATGATGCAACTTTGGAGGACTTCGACGCGCCGCGTAAACTAGCATTCTTGCTTTGCATCGACGCAGATCAACGATCTCGATGGGTTCAAGCATCAGGGTTGTCGAAGTCCTCCAAAGTTGCAGCATGTTTTTCAAGCAATGGTTGACATCATCAATCAAGCTGCAAATCTTTTATGATTTACGATTTAGTTAGCAGCAGTTTCGTTGCACTTAGGTCTTAGTTCCTTTTGTGTCTTTGACTCCATTTCACAATGGATGATATTCTTAGGGTACATGCTAAATATTTGTTTCTAAATTCAACATCCTCTCAGAAATTCTTATCACTGCTAGAAAACTATTGTGCTTTGTCATAAAGAAAGTAAATGAAAGGCATAACTAAATCAACTGGCAAATGGCGAAATGTACCCGTGTGCCGCTCCCACGTTATAGTTAATTTTTCTGAAGTCATGGAGTGCTTCTTGGATGGGGGTCTAAACTGCTTTTTGTTGTGATGTGAATTTGTTATATATTATTGCAAAGGGTTTTTATTTTTACCTCAGTTTTTAAAATTTGTACCATTTTTGAAGAATTTTTATATAGGGTCATTGCTATATTATGGTATATTGTTTGAATAATTTTTCCCAATTTGAAATAACAAAAGTTAAGTTTTTCTTGAGGACGCCCTCAACAGCCGCCTCTGCAATACCTCTCCTTCCTCCTTATTACTTACTTATTTACTTACTTACTATCATTTTTACTTCGAATCGAAGAGAGATAGTTGCTTTGTTAATTTGACGAGCAACGATCTGGAAAGGTTGACATCGTCAATCAAACAAACTGCTTACACTCTTTAGTCATTTACACTACTTTGGTCATTCCTCCAGATGTGAGAAATACAGCCGGGGTGAAGGAAGCCTCCTCTAGTAGATACGTCAAGCCGAGCTTGGTCACCTAGTATAGTCTTGGGGTTGAGATAAGACAGTCACCCTCGTTTACCTTCTGTAGCTGGGGTTCAACTTTCACATCATGACATACCTCACTCAGGAGATTGGTCATTGTGTCTCTCATGTGATTGTGGGTCATTATCACGTAGCCCCCTAGCTGCTACATTCACTTCAATCCGTCACGTACAGCTACTGATAATGAGGCAGATAACGAATCAGAATATATACTAACTCTAAATAATACGGTAATAAAGCAAGTTAAAGAGACCAAGTTTTTAGGTGTTATTATTGACGAAAAGCTAAAATGGGATGTTCAAATAAGAGCCCTCAACTCGAAACTTAGGTGTGAGATCGGAAGACTCAGTAGAATACGACACGTTATCCCGAAAAAACACCATAAAGAATTGTACCACACGTTATTTGAGTCACACCTAAGATTTGGAATATCGGTATGGGGTGGGTCGAGTAATAATATGCTTCAACCTATCTTCATCACTCAGAAAAAATGTATCAGAATACTATTTGGTGACCTTGAAGCATATCTAGATAAATTTAGAACATGTGCCAGAACACGTTGTATAGATGAACAAATCCTAGGAAGAGAATTCTTTGAAAAAGAGCATACAAAGCCGTTGTTTAACAAGAACGGCCTTCTTACCGTCCACAACCTGTACAAATACACATGTCTATTAGAACTGTTCAAAATTGTCAGATTAGAATCTCCAATCTCACTCCTATCTTTACTCCACAGATCACCATCACAAAGACGTTCAGACCAGTTCATCACCCCGAACCCATCCTCCTCTTTCATTTATCAATCAACAAAAATGTGGAACGACTGTCGAAAAATTGACAGTTTGATAAGCTTTACTAAGTCAACGAACTTAGTTTAAGTAACACTGAAAAGTGAGCTACTCAAGATACAGTCCAGGTACGAAGAATTAGAATGGACAGAATTAAACTTTGATAAGAATGAGCTTGTATTTTAAAACAGAGTCCTTTGACTTTATTATTTTGAAATTGAAGAATCGTCTGGCCATAACTCATTTCGTTCGCATTACAGATTCACATTCACTTTCATTTTCACTATCACGCACAGTACAGGGTCATACCTCAATACCAAATTATTATAGGGCACAAGAACAAATTTGTTTACAATTATCAAAATTTGTTGAGCCCAGCAGCTTACTTCCTATCCTCTCTTCCCCCGTCGTCTGGAGCGTGTGATTTTTGTTGATATCAGAGCTCTTGTTTTTATCTTTTGGTTAACTTTCTGTGATTGGACTCGGTATTTTCGTCCCCGCCGAGTGGGACGATGCTTGCTCGCCAGTTAAGCTATACTTTAGATGACACTAATTTCTACAAACCACAAAATATTAAATATAAAATGTGTCCAGTATGGCGCAAATGCATAATTTGATAATTTCTCGACGCTGTCGTCGGGGTGAGAGTTATCTGAACCAACTGCATGCCCCTACGATTGCGTCACCACTGGTGAGCAAGCATTTGTTTGTTGTTTAGTTGTGTTGGAAGGGAACATTACTTGATTAATTCATCCATTAGGATTTTAATAACGATGAGCTAAGATATACCGTTCATCTTAGACTATTGGATCAATCTTATTATATGATTAGATTTTATAAACGAACCTGGCATACAAAAGATTGTAATGCGGAGGTTGGCTGGCTCTTCTATAATAAATACGACACTCCAACTTACAGAATGCTTGCTAGAGATAAAACAAAATATTATCAGACTATACATGCAGCATGAGTAACTGGTGGATAAGCCTTCGGTAAAAACGGATCCGGAAAAGTCAATGCGGCACTCGGGTCCTTGGTATTGTCGTCGGTATATTGTCCATTATTTACGTTCTGCTTTCATAGTTCAAACAATAGTGAGCTCTAAATATACAGCTTTAAACCGATTAAGTATGAATGAATGAAATACCTGACAATCCGCACGCCTATAATTCAAAAGCATGAGTAACTCGTAGTGATGTACGATTTCTAGAAAGTTTAAATTAAATTTGGTGCTCACAGGTCCTCGTGATCATGTGATCGCCGCATAATGTTCTGTAAATGCGCAGGGCACCTTCAAGCTTAAATTATTCACCATACTGAGGCAGTCAACCAACGCGCGGCTTTATTTTTATGATATGATATGTTTTGATTGTTATTAATAAATACCAAAATTTAAATTTGTTTTACTAAAATTTGTTTTACTTGCAGGTGAGAAGGTGGTCAAGGTCACTTGTTTTTCCACATCTACAGGTGATGGGAGTGTTTGGTATCCACCAGCTGTAGGCAGACACTGTCACGAAACTCCTCTTTGTTCAGAGTGTAGCCATACTTCTGAAGTGACAGTGTCTTGGGACAACCTCTTCCCTTGCTGCTAGTAGAACTCTTTTGAAAGAGGTGCCACATCTTTCAGCTATATATCGTCATACTTGACTTGGAGCTTGGAATTCTTTGATTTCTTAATTTGATTCCTTCCCCGAGTTGGTGAGGCTACTTGATGCAGTGTATACTTCCTCTTGGCCCACTATTGCCTTTGTCAGCAATATGCTCAGAAGACCTAGAATTCGGAAAAATTCTGTTCCTTCAGGCGGTCATTACGCTACTGGAAGCCAACATTCATTATCCAACTGCACAATTGGTTGGTTTGATACTAAATCCCATACACTTTAATTTAGTCTGCAACACCATGATCATGATATCAGTGGCATAACGTTGGATGTTGGCGCTTCTAGCCGTAAGCGTCCCTCTGTTCATACGTCAGTAAATACTCTAAAAAAGTGTGTTTATAGAGCAAAACACGTAGTTTTGCTAGTACTTTAATAAAGCTTTTTCTAGATTGTCCCACATTCAAACACCGATTTTCCCATCCCCAGGTATCTTAGAAAAATGTCTACTTTACAGTTGGCAATGTTGAGTGGCAAGACCAAAACGCTTTGGGCTAACAATGCCCATTAACAAACCACTTCAGACATGGCAATGATGTCCTTCATGCTAAATTTGTCTGAAACTGACCCTACTGCATTTCTAACGTTCTAACAAATTTCTTGGCTGAAATACTTATTAGGTATAATAATGATGCATGATATTAGCTTAACTGATCATCAAACTTGTGGCCCAATCAATTGTGGACATCTGGTACATGATGATATGTACGTTTTTTATTATTTACTTATGTTACTTATCTTACTTAGGTTTTTCCACAGGAACCAAAGGTATATTTACAATTAGGCCAGTGATAGGCCTAGGTAAGGTAGTGTAAATTCCATGCATTCCTCATCCAAGGCTTCACAGGGCAGTTACTCATTTAACCCTCAATCACGGTTTCCCATTCATTTGCTTATTTTTGTGCAGAATTTTCACTTCTGTCAAAATATTACTTTTTTGATAAATGTTCATATCTACTGTTTTATATATTAGATACAATATAAATGCTACTTTAGGACTCCTTTGACTACATTTATGTAAGAACAGAATATGTTTTCTATCTAAATTATAAATTATCTCACCATCTTCTTAATTTGTGCTTTTCATCACAAGGTCCAACATGTCTGGGTGGTTGTGGGGAAAACCTAAACCTAAGAACTTTGAGGAAGTTCTTCAAAAAGAAGGTGAGTTAATTGAGATCAATTAGTAAAGTAATAATTGATTATTAATGACTGTTACCATGTCTATTGTCTAGTGCTGTATCTATTATTGATTTTAAATCATCTTTATATTAGTGCAAGAATAATTTCTTGTCGTGCCTTGATGTCTCTCTTGAATTTTAAATTGTATCCCCTGAATACCTGTCGATTATCTTCTTTTATACACTTAACCAGTTCAAAATATCAAAAATGAACTAGATGAATTGGCCAAATATGGGTTCGCAGGATAGGGATAATTTCGAAATATATTTGCAATACAATCATGGAAAACAACCTCATTTCAGCCGAAGAAGCAAAAGCTTCTGATATGATGCCTGACAACAACCAAGGTAAGATATTTACAAAATACTTAAGAGAATACCATCCAGTAATGTAGCTTATGTTTTACTCAGAAGCTGTCAAAATACTGTACTATGAAATATCTAGGATATAATCTTGTTAATTTATTCATCTACTGCGAATTTTTGCTTTTTGGCAATTACTCGTAGATTAATTAAAAGTCAAATAACTAAGACTCTTATTTGGCCGGCCTAAGTGCATCATGTCTTACTCGATATTCTGAAAGAAACTTCAGGATCCAAGCATATGAATGATTAAGTTCATTAAGGATCTAATTTTAACAGTTAATCACTATCGAATGTCTACTCACGATCCCAACACTTCAGGTGATGCCCCCACTACATCCAGAGTACAAGTCCAGCAATCGCCTCCCCCTCCAAGGGAGGTAAGATTCTCTGGGTTTGATGCTACAGCTTACGAGCGGGCTGCTAAGGCTATGAAGGAAATCGACAAGTCTAGTGAGTTAACTAAGTTTAAAAAATCCATTTCCTCCGCATTGCACATAATGAAACATCTCAGCTCTTTTGATTTAAAATGGTTTTAAGTTGAAGTAGTAAGTTCTTCAAATCCATTATTGACGGCATGTAAAATGTTGAGTCAAAACATTTGCTTAATTGAACAGAATGGTTATTTCTGATGATTTGCACGATTCAGGTAAACTAATGTTCATTCTGATGCTGTGCTCATTAATTTTTGTATTGAATTACATCTTAATAAGAAATTGTGGGAAGATAGCGGTAAGTAATATATTATATAATCTAAGCTAACCAGAACTAGAGGCGAAACTAGAGGTGAAACATTATAACTTTTCCTCTACAGAAAATGCAAAGGAAGCACTAGAGCTGACGCTCAAACAAGAGGAAACGAAGAAAGCTGAGATGGAAGCCAACAAAAAACAGATTGAACTTCAACTCCAGCAAGAGAATACCAACAGGGCCAGGTAGAAAAAGTGAAAACTACCAGTTTATAGCCCTTCAACGACCTTTTTTTATTAACCCTTATTTTCAAAGCGTATTATGGAATATTCTTCAAATGCTCTTTATAGTTATCACTTTTCAACACACAGGGTTATGGAGGAAGAAAAAAGGAAAACGTTGAAAGACCAACAACGGTTCAACCAGCAAAACGAACAGTACAAAGATAGGCTAGCTAGAAAGCGTCATGATGATCAATTGGGTAAATTAGTCAATAAATATGTAATTAGGTAATTTCATAGATTTCATTTCAAATGGATTTTTTTCATTCGATTTAGTTCGAATAATAGCGATGCAAAAGGTTTGTCATTTTCTGTCTGAATCAGAGAACTAAGCGTGCTATTTATTATTTCTCCTGACGAAAAATACCGAGTTTCACAAAAATAATATCGATGACAATTAGTGATTTAAAAATTTAAATCTAGATCAAGACAAAAGGAACAACGAGGAGATTATGAGACGACAGGAAGAGTCAGTGAAGCAACAAGAAATGATGAGACGAGAGACAGTGGAGTATCAGGAGAAACTGAGGCACGAGAACGAAATGAAGAGCATTGAAGCGAAGATGAGGGGCAAGTAAGTTTAAAAAATGCTGTTGATTTTTATGATTTATTGGTGAAAGGAACTGTGTCACTAGGTATCTTATCATGTGTCACTAGGTATCTTATCATATGTCACTAGGTATCTTATCATGTGTCACTAGGTATCTTATCATGTGTCACTAGGAATTGTAGGAATTGTGCCAAATTTACCGACAGATAAAATGTATTTCTTTTAGAGCAAAAGTTGAACGAGATAATCACGACCTTAATAAAGAGAAGATTAAGCTAGAAAGTAAAGAGAAAAGGAGAACGATATTAGAGGCAGTCAGCTCTGTTGGCAATATGATTGGAACTGGTAAGCTACAGGCTATGCTGAACATAAAGTTTTGCTCGCTCTGGGATGCTAGAGAAGATAGCACATTTAGTAATTCTTGAATATTTTGAATCTCAACATTTTGCACTCAATACCTAGCAAATTCGCACAACTTTAGGTATCGACACACTGATATCAAACAAAGAAAAGGCGATGGGGGCTGGAGGTGCCATGTTGGCTCTGGCTGGTGGATTCTTCATAGCAAAGCACGGAACTGTTACAGTTGCTAGGTTCATTGAGAATAGACTTGGAAAACCAACTTTAGTCCGTGAGACGTCCAGAGCAAATTACAAGGTAACTGCGTTGACGTGAGAACATTCAGGAATACTAGACAAAACTGCTAGATTGTTCTACAGTAGGAGGGAACGCGCGTTGTATATATATTCATGGAAAGTTTTTTCAGCAGCATAAAACGTGGTTTTGGCGCCGCGCGCGCGTACACGTGCGTCCGCCCCGGCTCATTCAAATTCTTCACTTTGCCCCATCCCTAGTGGAAATAGCACTTCTAAGAGATAAGAGAACATTCACGACCGACGACGAGTCCAAATATCAATATTGTATCCTAAATCTCCTCCCAGGACGTATTCAAGCACCCAATAACTACCGCTGTTAGAATGTGGCAAGGCAGGAACGGCTTAGACCAGGCCCTGAAAGGAGTCGTCACAAGCCCTTCTCTTGATAGTCGTCTGAAAGTGGTCAGTAGTTTGCCTCAGCAGCAACAACGTATTATATTTCGTGTATTATATTTCGTGCTTACGATTTTCTTTATTTTCACTAAAATCACTGCTGAGTCACTACGAAAAAAAAAACAGTTGCTTTTATTGAAATGAATCCGATATTGTGAGTTTTAGTATACACAGAACTATAGAAATGATATTTTATACCATGTTTATGTTCAATAAACACAGCTATGATAACACAATAATTTTTTCAGTTGGTCGCATCTACGTTCTTCACTAAACAGAACGGCGGAACCTACCGAAATCTTCTTATGTACGGTCCTCCCGGAACAGGGAAAACGCTCTTTGCGAAGGTTCGGAGATTGTAGGAATTGTAATAATAATCAGAAATTCGAAATCTTTACTTTTTTTTTTGGTAGTGACGATCAATTTCGATTGCGACTTAGTTAGCTTTCCCAGGTTAGTTAATCCATCGTTACTCAGTTCACTCTGTCCCCATTATTGCCAGTTTGAAGTGTTGTACTAGTATTGGTATTAGTGGTTAACCTCTCAATCTCTACTTGAACCTTGTCTGAGACACCTAACCACCTTTAAGCATGTAATGAGTTGGTGGGGCGTCCTAGTTGGGCGTCCTAGTGGGGCGTGCTAGTATATTCCTATCCAGGCCTTCCGAATACTGTACAGTCCATTTAATCAGCTATATAACAGCTTTATTTCTCGTAAATATTCTCAGTCTCTGTTTCTTTACTTTAGAATATAACATATCTGATTATTACCTTCGAGGTCAAGTCAGAGTTTGGTCTCTTTAATTTTCTTCGATATACTTTCGGATTACTTTCGCCGAAAGTTCGAAATCAAAATCTTCCGCCTTCTTTCTTTTTTAGAGGGGCTTGACTTAACTGAGTCAATTAGTTCTTCTCTTCGTTGAGGAGAAGAACTAATAGACTCTCTTAATAGCTTGCATAGAGGAGAGGCTATCAGTCCATATGATGATGTGTGAAATAATTTTAGCGGTGTTTGCCAGTTTCTCTGATGGCCGTGGTGAGCTCTGTCTAATATACTTTAGGCAGGAGGCTTGAATAATTTTTTCCTTTGGAGTAATATTATTATTGTGGTGATGTGCCTTCTCGTTGAGCATGAGGATAGCTTGCATAGAGGAGACACTATTTTTTAAATTTTTAATTTGAAAATTCAATTAATTATCATATATATATAAATCAAGCGTTACATTCCAGCCATGCAAAATTACAATGACATATTTTGATATACTAAATGATAAATGGTACTGCAATATAAGTTGCTTAATGTTTGGCCGGATGACAACTAACTAAAAGAGAAAAATAAACTTGATTACATAATAATTAATTCGGCTGAACCAACACATAGCAAGAGCCACATTAACGTTGGGGCCGTCAAAAAATCAGTCCATATGATGATGTGTGAAATAAGTTGAGCGGTGTTTGCCAGTTTCTCTGATGGCTGTGGCGACCTCTTTCTAATATACTATAGGCAGGAGGCTTGAATAGGAGGCTTGAATACTTTTTCCTTTGGAGTAATATTATTATTGTGGTGATGTGCCTTCTGCTCTTCTGTGTTTTTTCGTCTCGTAAATTAGTCTTGCAGCTACTCAAAGGGTGCCAAGAATATTCTGTGTAAAATAAGTAGGCCCCTCCCCCTAATTACATCTACCAACAAGATAAAACCTGCAACACTTGTGACTCACCAGCACACCGAAATAGTTTGTCCGGCAATTTTAAATCTTACACAATTTTCCCACTTCAGAAGCTGGCCACGTCTTCAGGAATGGACTACGCTATTATAACCGGGGGTGACATAGCTCCTATGGGTAAAGAGGGCGTCACGGCGCTGCACAAAGTCTTCGATTGGGGTGCCACATCTAAGAAAGGGTTGGTTTATACTTTTTACTGATATACTCCAGAAATATAGTTTTATTTCCTCTAAAAATGATTTATATATTGGTCACATGATATGTATTAACATACCCTGATAGGTATATTACTAGTATATACTTGATATTATACGGATATTAAATAAAGGTCGTAGGTTCTAGAATACTCTTTAACTACTACATACCAATTTCCTGTTCCGCTATTAGTTTTCCCGTACACCACGCGAGATCGGCTTTCTGCAGAAACGGAGTTGCTACCCTGATCATTAGAGCCGAAAATATTTGTTCGGTTTTCTGAAGTCCGTACCTAAATACGGAAGACTATGGATGTGATTGGTTTCATATACTTATCTAGAAAACGTGATATTTGGCCCGCAGATTTGAAGGAAAATACGCGAATTTGGTCGTCAGATTTAAAGGAATATGCGCAATTTGTCGCGGAGAACTGAAAAAATCGCGATTTGTCGCGAGGCCAGGATCTGAGAAAATCGAGATTTGTCGAGGAGAATGGGACAAATCGAGATTCTGCACATGCTGCAATTTCCTTTTGTCCCCCCCCCCCCCCCCCCCCCCCCCATGAAGAAATTCCTACACCCCTGATAAAACTCCTCCTGTAGCACCCAAACTTGTCCCCGTTTAACTACGCATTTTAATTAGTTCCGTCTCAATTGTTACAAGCTTCCGCACAATAGCTGATTAACTACACCAAGAATTCGGCAATTCGGTTTATATCTCAAGCATTATTTTATGCGATTTTTGCTTCAAATTCCATTAAATTTCAATCCGAGTATTCACATATGTCTGGGATTTAATGAGATATGATCGGTGAATTTATTACACCACCTCGCAAAATCCCGCCAACCGCTAGAAAGGAGGTCTACATTACTGAAATTTACCCTAAATTGATTAATCATAGGGTGGTTGTAAGTTCTTAGTAACTATTCTGACTTCTCTGAAATATACTTCGAATCACAGATACGATAATGAGATAAAAAGGATCCTTTGGTGGAAATCATTTTGATTTAAGAAGCGAGGCTCTGAATTTTGCTGGATCATTACCAAATCAGTAATCATTAAAATTTTTGAAAAATTAGTGCTACCGATAACTGCCGTTTTTTGACAAATTCGCGACCCGTACGTGTAAGGAAATCTTCTTGGTATTAAACCAATATTAGTAAATAAATTGAGTTCGGGGATTACTTTAACATTTCCCCTAAATGATGATCACGTTAAAAAAGATCCCATAATCTCTATGACACGAAATAGTTCCAATAGAAAAGCACGTGTTAAACTGATAGACGTTTTGCTAGTTTTACCATTACCAAGATCACAAGTAGGGAATCAATGCCCAGGGAAGTAGTTAAAACACGAAAACTTTATGGTTATCCTTCATAACTATGATACGGGTGGGGATGAAGGCAGAGAGGTTAGAGTATTACATAATTATAGTGTGACTTAATTGTTAAGTGTTTTAAAAGGAAACCAACCTCCGTCTCCTGTACACAGGAGTGGTGATTTAAACCAGAGAATAAGAGAATTGGTAAAAGTATATAATTTAAATGTTGAATTTTAAAATTATGGGTTTGCTCCTCCGAGTTGCAGCTCCGATTTTACCCTTGACGGTCCTTTATAAATGTCTATCGGAGCTTTTACAAAATAGGTTAATAAGAGTTGTTATGGAAAACATTGTAGATCGAGAAAAAAAAACAAATTATCTTGTTGGTATGGTATGTTTCCCAGTGAGTACGATAATGATGCTTACAGTCCAGATATTCATGAATGAAACTGAGATGAACTTGAATACGTATTTTGTGAAAACAGACGGTTCCCAAACATCTACAGTTGCGATAATCTATCGGCTTACGATAAACATGATACATTTCGCGATTATATCATTGTGTTGCAAATTCGCAACATTGCGAGGTCTAGGTGGTCGCAACATTGCGAGGTGGTCGCAACATTGCGAGGTGGTCGCAACATTGCGAGGTGGTCGCAACATTGCGAGGTGGTCGCAACATTGCGAGGTGGTCGCAACATTGCGAGGTGGTCGCAACATTGCGAGGAGGGCCACGCCCAAAGTGTTTACTCAAGAAAACAACCTCACGGGTCAGGGAAAGGTCCTCCGCTGTCTTGTGTCACACAGCTTCCTGTTCCAGATACTATTAACTATCAGATACTATCTACGTTACTCCCTACTATTCCGTCATATCCACTATCGTCTTACTCAACAGTCAACAGCTCTGATAAAAACTTTTTCTTAAAAGTAATCTGTCTGCGTGTCAATAAAAAGTGTTTGGTAATCATAATGTTTGCAATTATGATAGTGAATTTTTATCGAAAGACAAAAATACTATATGTCAGCAATTCAACGATAAGATTAAGTTAGACTAAACAGTAAGCATGCATCATACACCAACATGACTATAAGTATAATTAAATTATGGATCAGAGATTCTTATAACAAATGATCGGTTTTTATTTCTATTTTAAAATATTAATTTTAACCACTTTATTGCTCGCGTTTACACAAAAAAAATTGTTAAACCCTTTGGTGAAACTATAACTTGTCTCGCTTACCACCCTTGCTAAAAGATATTTAATTTCAATCATGTGTTCATCGATTGGATTTACCAAACTAGAGGAAGTCTGGGTTTGCTCAATAAATGTTTAAGATGTTTAAGCATTTTTGACGTCCTTGTGCGCCGAGAGGAAGTTGTTATATTCACATTAAATTTAATAGTTCTAGTTTGTAGTCAGGACACAGGATCAAATTACTTGACGTCTTGTCTCGGTTGGGTACAAGCACACATGTTATGAGATTTACAAAATAACCCTAAGTGAGAGAATTGTGAAGCGGGTTACACCACTAAATAATGGCCGGGTGAAAGAATGATGTTTTGTCATTGTCATCACCAATGTTCGTATATGGACACTTCATTTGAATTTGAGGATATCAGTAAACAAACAAAAAATTAGCGTTTGGCGATAGCCGCTTAATGCGATACCTCGTTTTTACTGTAAGGTGTTTTCAAAACCTTTTAAAAACTCATTATTTGATGGTTCTTCTACCAATTATAGCCCTCAAATATGTTGATTTGAATGGTTAGCTAATACAGTCACTACTCACTTATTGAGAAATTAGGTTAATTCTATCACATTATATGAAATTTTCAATTTGATTGTATTGCCCAAATAATTTATCTAGGCGGAAAAACTCAATATCACTGTATACGGTGAGGACGATACAGTTAATTCAAGTTAAGGGCTGTTGATGTTAACACTGTCACAAAATTGATACAAAATCGTATATAGGTTAAGTTGTGATAAACGATTATTTAACTCTTATAAATAATTAGTGCAGTTTTGTTACGTGTTGATGATATTAGCTCTCTTAAAGAAAACTCATTGGAGCGCTATCTATAATGGTGATTTTCTTCATCAATATATAAAACATATATATATGGGAAACGCTTCTGCAGAGGTGATTTTGTTGGCCAACTGGGAAATTGGACAAAGCTTCTTTGGGAGCCCAAGAGACCTTTGTTGTGGACACAATAACGTCAGCTGTATTCTCATACATATAATGAAGATTTAAGTTAACAGAGTTTACTTCAGTGCACAGTTGATTAGTTAAGTTCTGCCCCCCCTACCGGGAGGGGCATTAAGACATGGCTGCTGAGTTACATGGTTACTTAGTTACCTGGTTACTTAGTTACCTGGTTACTTAGTTACCTGGTTACTTAGTTACCTGGTTACTTAGTTACCTGGTTACTTAGTTACCTGGTTACTTAGTTACCTGGTTACTTAGTTACCTGGTTACTTAGTTACCTGGTTACTTAGTTACCTGGCTGCTGAGTTACCTGGTTACTTAGTTACCTGGTTACTTAGTTACCTGGTTACTTAGTTACCTGGTTACTTAGTTACCTGGTTACTTAGTTACCTGGTTACTTAGTTACCTGGTTACTTAGTTACCTGGTTACTTAGTTACCTGGTTACTTAGTTACCTGGTTACTTAGTTACCTGGTTACTTAGTTACCTGGCTGCTGAGTTACATGGTTACTTAGTTACCTGGTTACTTAGTTACCTGGTTACTTAGTTACCTGGTTACTTAGTTACCTGGTTACTTAGTTACCTGGTTACTTAGTTACCTGGTTACTTAGTTACCTGGTTACTTAGTTACCTGGTTACTTAGTTACCTGGTTACTTAGTTACCTGGTTACTTAGTTACTTAGTTACCTGGTTACTCAGTTACCTGGTTACTTGGCACTGAGCACCTCGGTAAGGTAGTGTTTAGATCATAGGTCATAGCATCTTCCGCGTGACAAATCTCACATAGTAGACACATACATTTAAAACATCATTAGAATGGACCATCACATTTTACGTCCTGTCAAAATTCCCACTATTTTAACTTGGTGGATCCAATAATATTCTGAGTCCTGACCAGTTTAAATTTGATAGTTCCACGTCTCCGGGCCCCTAGTAAAATGAAAATAGCCACAATATGACTGCCATATAAAATTAACCTAAAATAGTGACATTTCCTCCCCACTCGTGCCTTGTTCATCGATTAAATGCTTTGGATATCAGAATAGTTAACGTAACGAGAGACAGACTTGGTCACATGTGTAATATATATTATATACCCACTGCTAATATAATAGGTTACCTGCAGGGGTGTAGGAATGATTTTCTTCATGGGGGGGCCAAATTCTAAATATTTTTTGGCGCTTCGCGCCAAAGCCTGAATTTCGAGTTTTCAGATCCTGGCCTCACGACAAATTGCGATTTTTTCAGTTTTCCGCATCAAATTGCGCATTTTCCTTTAAATCTGAGGGCCAAATATCACGTTTTCTATAATTAGTATATGAAACCAATCAGTATCACATCCACAACCTTCCGTCCATAGACATCCATAGACTTCAAAAAAACCAAAAATATATTTTCGGCTCAGAATGAAACATGAACAAAAGTAATTTCCAGAAAAACTTTTTTTGACTTAGAAAATGTTCGGTCCGAGTCATTCTCGATACGTACCTCTGAAAGCAGAGCTCACGCTCACGCTTCCGAGCTCGTATTGCGAAAGGGAGGCCTGCCTTCCGAGATCGCATTACAAAGGGGAACCCTCGAGTCCAAAATCGTATATTGAACTTCGAAAACCGAAAAAAAAATATTTTCGGCTCAGAATGATCAGGGTAGCATGAAACATGAACAAAAGTAGTTTCCAGAAAAAATTTGGAAGTTTTTGACTTAGAAAATTTTCGGTCCGAGTCATTCTCGATACGTACCTCTGAAAGCAGAGCTCCCGCTTCGGAGCTCGTATTGCGAAAGGGAGGCCTGCCTTCCGAGATCGCATTACAAAGGGGAACCCTCGAGTCCAAAATCGTATGTTGAACTTCGAAAACCGAAAAAAATATTTTCGGCTCAGAATGATCAGGGTAGCATGAAACATGAACAAAAGTAGTTTCCAGAAAAAATTTGGAAGTTTTTGACTTAGAAAATTTTCGGTCCGAGTCATTCTCGATACGTACCTCTGAAAGCAGAGCTCCTGCTTCGGAGCTCGTATTGCGAAAGGGAGGCCTGCCTTCCGAGATCGCATTACAAAGGGGAACCCTCGAGTCCAAAATCGTATGTTGAACTTCGAAAACCGAAAAAAATATTTTCGGCTCAGAATGATCAGGGTAGCATGAAACATGAACAAAAGTAGTTTCCAGAAAAAATTTGGAAGTTTTTGACTTAGAAAATTTTCGGTCCGAGTCATTCTCGATACGTACCTCTGAAAGCAGAGCTCCCGCTTCGGAGCTCGTATTGCGAAAGGGAGGCCTGCCTTCCGAGATCGCATTACAAAGGGGAACCCTCGAGTCCAAAATCGTATGTTGAACTTCGAAAACCGAAAAAAATATTTTCGGCTCAGAATGATCAGGGTAGCATAAAACATGAACAAAAGTAGTTTCCAGAAAAAATTTGGAAGTTTTTGACTTAGAAAATTTTCGGTCCGAGTCATTCTCGATACGTACCTCTGAAAGCAGAGCTCCCGCTTCGGAGCTCGTATTGCGAAAGGGAGGCCTGCCTTCCGAGATCGCATTACAAAGGGGAACCCTCGAGTCCAAAATCGTATATTGAATTTCGAAAACCGAAAAAAATATTTTTAGGTCATAATGATCAGGGTAGCATGAAACACGAACAAAAGTATTTTGTTCAAAGTTTCAAGAAAACTTTGAAAATTTATGACTCAGAAAATTTTTGACTTATAAATTTTTGACTTAAAAAATTTTTTCCCAAAAATTTTTAGAAACCTAAATTAAAAAGTTGGCCCTTTTTGGCCCCTTGCCCAGATTTCATGGGGGGGCGATGGCCCCCCCCTGCCCCCCCCCGCTTCCTACACCCCTGGTTACCTGCCACCTACTTAGTAATTTCCTTTTTGGGGATGGATTCAATTCCACTCGGAGTTGACTCCAGTTATATTACTTCTATTTCATCCTTATGTTCGCCCCACGGTATGAATATTTCGCGAAGAAATTGGAATATTTTACGGATAGTGATAGCCTGGTACACGTCATTAATATATCGTGTCTGGGCCTTGTAATATACGATCACGAGGAATCGATCATGAGGAAGTTACTTACTTGGGAGGGACAGAGGAAGTGTAATGGAATTGGTAGAACATCTAAGGAAGGTTCTAGCATATAATCAATATATTAGGGGTTGTTAAACCCTAAGATCCTTCTCTCTGAGGCCCAATGGTATTGAGATGTGCGGATCATGATCAATCAGGCCCATTGTCACTCGGGTCTTTATTCCTTGAGCACATCACCAATCACCATGGCCTAGGGTAGAACTTCACTAAAGTAAAAAGTAAAAATATGGGGCACAAGGTTCTGTAGCGAGACAACGTCAATCGGAAGTTTTACTGCACGTTCAGTATTGATTTAAGACGTCTAAGTTACTTGGCTAAGATCTATCTGGGCCAAGAGTTAAAGAAATATTTATCCCAGCCACCACATGACATTTTATTGTTTTGAACTCTATTGCCTATGGCAGGTGCTACAGGATCGTTTCAAAACCATAGAATGGAACATAACGCCCTACCCAACACCTTTTCCCCTTTATTTGTTGTTTTAACACCAACTCTTTACTCTACCTACATCGAGGCTACGTCATACACGTTTAATGGGGTCCCTCCATTGTAGAACACATGTTCACCTTACTATCCCAGAAAGTTCTTACTGCACCTACCTACAACTACAAACCGCGTCTTGAACATTTTAGCGTGAAAGTTCGCCACAAAAAGACCAAACAAATTACAGTAAAAAAGTTTTCGTGAAGGAAACACCAGCGGACCGCGGTAAATCGGGATTGCGGTAAATCGGTGTTTTGATTGTTCACATTATGCATATTAAATATTGTGCAGTAAATCGGGGGATCGGGTTTTTACTGTACTAACTTTATCATTTATACTGCTTGTAGCCAAAATAACTGATTTTTTGATAATATCTCTACAAATGTAAGGCCATATTATGATTGATAAGTCGTGAATAAATGTGGAACATTTTCCAACATTGGAAAAGTTTTTGCGACATTAAGTGCACACTCTACTACACTCTGCTACTAAATTATATTACTCGCTGAAACATTCACAATTCCTAAATTTAGTTTCTGCGTGATAACAGGTTAGTTTAAATACGTGGAGGCCAATGAAAATTGCGGATTAAAGAGTTATTTAATGCGAAAGTTATGAAATTCAATAAATATACTTTAACCGACAAGTTATGTAATTCAATAAATATATTTCAAACGACAATATAAGAAACAACCTTTGCGCTATGTTCCTAAATTTTTTAACCTCAAATATACGGGTTAAGTTAAGTAGTTGAGTAGTGGTTCAAAGAATTTCCAGGAAAGAAATTGTAAGAACCTCTTTAAGTATTTTAACTATTTACTAGCCGTAAATTGGAACGTGGAAAATTCTATGATTGGTGATCCTTATTGGGAATTTACAAATTGTTTCTGATTGATGTTTATGAAATTAGCAAAGGCAGTTAATTATTATTCTGGCATAATCACAGGTTGATACTGTTCGTGGACGAAGCGGACGCTTTTCTGAGGAAACGAACCGAAACTCAGATGTCGGAGGATATGAGGAGTTGTTTGAACGCATTCTTGTACCGAACCGGGGAATCCAGTAAAAGGTATGTCCAGTTTGTAATGATAGCCTGCTTACAATAGCGTTCATGAAGATATTTTCAATTCTTGTAGAGGATTGGAAGTGTCAAAATGTTGAAAGATCAATTGGTAACTTTCGTGATGTGTCCCTCCAAGGTCTTAATTCAGGTACTTAATTCTAGAGAATAACACGGTTTCTCATTTCAGTATGATGTTGGTGATGGCTAGTAATCGACCTGATCATTTGGACTGGGCCATCAATGACAGGTGAGTCGAGTGAACCAACACTCAATAGGTACCTCATCAATTATTTGAATATGTTTATTAATCAAGGGTGGGGGGGGGGGGGGGTGGGGAGGGTAAAGTTTCAGTGTCATCTGGATTAGAGATGGGTGTTTAAGTAGCTGTGAATGTTTTTAAGGTTTGGGTATCTCTATTTAAACATGCCAAATTACTAGAAATTAAATCAGCATTTTGAACCTTTACTTACTCATCAATCAATCAAAAAACTTCCACATTTATATTTAAATGTACAGCGTACCAATAGTGAATAGATTTACCCAATTTGTTGTTTTGATAGTGCTAATCCTCGAAATTAATCCATTTGGAAATGAAGGTTTTGCAGATGGTCATGAACCACAGTGATCATGTCACGTTTCTCCCCCGCGATTATCTATATCTCATTTGATCATATATATTTTTTTGTAGTTGGTATTTTAAACACATGCCATATATGGCATGTGTTTAAAATATCAACTACAAAACTATGAAATATTCTGAAAAACCCTTTGTGTCCACTGATTGATGCGATGTCATGAAAAAATATTTCAACCACTTAACAATTAACATACACGAATTGTGCTGAAAATTGGTGTTTCAAAAATGATTGCACTGCAGTCAACTATTCCTGAATGGCGCAATCGGCAATACGTGGGTAGTTGGTGCTGAGTATAATATGGTAAAACCCCGATTTATCGCGGAGTTGGGAAAGGAAACAGCCGCGGTAGATCGGGGCGCGGTAAATCAGGGTTTGTTAGTATACATTGTGCATGTTAAGCCCTATTTGAGGGAAGGAAATGGCCGCGGTAAATCGGGGCGCGGTAAATCAGGGTTTTACTGTACTATAATATGGTATGTGATTGGAATCCCAGCTATGAAATCAATATTATTATATAAGTGGTGAAATAAAATATTTCAACCACTTACCAGACAAGAATTGCGCTGAACAGTGAACATAGGTGGTGTAATGATCTACTTTTCAATGCGTGGGTTAAACACAGCTAGAGAAGGTTGCGCAATGGGTCAGGGTGATCGTCGCAGGTTCTCGAATCTTCTCGACCACTATAATTTCCACCGAGATACGATTAGATAGGAATAGAAGGATTCACAATTCTCAAACCAGTTGACATCTTGGCAGCACATCATCCCCAACCATAGTATCATACTCTCATAGTCTAGGATTATTGGATCTATCATCATCGTCAGAATATAGTATATAAATCTTCTTATTATAATCTTAAAACCTGACAGACAAAAGTGGTTAGTACCAACTAATATCACAGCTTTGGCCGAGACTCTATCAGTATTTTTGGGCTACCAGTTTCCTTGTTAAGATAGCTAAGTGACTGGGTGAACTTCGTGGGTGGGTAGTGAAAACGTGGGTGATAAATGCGTGGGTGCTGAATCGAGGTGGGTGGGTTGGTGAAACTGATAACTAGAGATCACTATATTTAAACTTTCATTTTAGGGTGGGGCGCTTAAACCCACGAAGGAAAAAGCGGTTATAGTGTCCTAGTGAACAATTTGGCAATCACCACCCAGAATGTTCACCGGAACATGCTGTGAATTATTGTATGAAGTATTACAATCTTTTAAAACTAATAACTTTGTCATCTATATCGTTAGAAGGTTAAGCTTCAAAAATCAACCATCTTCAGTCGTTAAATTGAGTGCAATAGTTTATTTCTTTATTTCGCATTAGCGGTATTAATCGTTAATCTTCTTAGTCGCTATTATATATGGAAATTGGGTGATTCCAACTTCTATTGTGTGAAATAAAAACGCGACATTTGTCAGTTTTTAGAAGTTGCTGCTAAACTCAGTAATTTGGGAGAGAAAATGGGTAAAATCAAAAAGATATCAAAAACTTAGACTAATCAAGAAATTTAAATATTTGAATTGGAATTTATCACAAATTATTTAAATTCCAAGAAATTGTTTAACTCCATATTATATCTTCTAACTTTTGTAATATAAAATATAGTAGTAGTAGTAGTAGTAGTAGTAGTAGTAGTAGTAGTAGTATATTTATCATATCTAAATATTATGTGCATAGCAAGATCATCCAAATTATATAAAATCTATTATCTAGATAATTTTGAAATCCTATCTGCTTATCTAGATAAACAACCAAGGAGATAAACTGCCAACCCTAGGTACAACGATGTTTCACCCAAAGATCGGTTCACAGTATAGTTAGGGCAATTTGTAGTTTTAATTGGCTGAGAGACAAGACTAAGGATACAAGTCGGACGAGGTATAATTATCCACCACCATGATGATTCAGTCCCTTAAGATATACTTTAAGATATGTTCACTGGCAAAGTTTAAGTTTCCAACTAATTGATAATTATTTATCAATTTTTCTGGGCAGCGGGATGTGAAGACAAACGTACTGACTACGAACCCAAAATAATTTGCCGGAACTTTTTTTGGATCGCACAGCCTTTCAGCCACTGGGCACTGAGCCACTGGCAATAGATGATTATCTGAGAAAATGTCCTTTAGTTCAATATTGGAATTATCATTGTTAATTCACGTTTAGCGATTAAATTAATGAACAATTACAAATCAGCCAATTAATCAGTATGATAATTGCCCAATTAACTGGCAGGTTGGATGAGATGGTTGAGTTTCCGTTACCTGGCCTGGAAGAAAGAGAGCAACTCCTCCAGCTATACTACAAGATTTATGTGGCCGATCTAGCTGAGAAGGGGTGAGTTTTTTATGTTTCTATAGGATTCTGATTGGTTAATTTATAACCTACAAGTTATAATGAATGTCGGTGAAAGTATTTTACCCCTACGACATCATTTCTCAGAAGCTTGTAAATCATTGATACCGATCTCGGCCAAATACCGGGAAAACGCAGCTATTTAAATGAGGATTTTAAATAAAATTCTAATATGATTGTAAATTTGCAATTCATTTTCAGAGATATACAGATTGAGGAATTCGACTCAGACTCAGTTTTAAGTGATATAGCTGCTCGAAGCGAAGGTTTCAGTGGTCGAGAAATCTCCAAACTCGGAATTGCGCTTCAGGTATTTATTTATTGTGGATTTATTTCATTTGTCGTAATATAATGCCTTATTCTGGCATTCAATTGGTGCAATTTAAACAACTAAACCTGTTGTAAATACCAGAACTATCAAGAAAATTTGATCAGCCACCCTGTTGATCAAATTTTGGCATGCTTGATTAAATTTCATTAATTTAAAAATGCAATATGTAGATCACACAATGGAACAATTAACACTGGGGGAAGGGGGGGGGGGGGGGGGGGGCTGACCATATCACAGTGCTGGCAAGCACGACTGTGCCTCTTATACTCACTATACTATTTACCCCCTTCACTATTATACCCCCTTTACTATTTGCCCCCTTTACTATTTACCCCCTATACTATTATACACCCTTTATTGTTTTTCAGGCATTAAGACTCATCGAAAGTAGTTCAGCAGGCATATTTTATGTTCAAAACATTCTAATTGAATGTCAAAGATGACAGGAATAAGAATTAGTTATATATGGAGATTTTTTAAGAATTTTGCATAAAATACGCGCCAGCACTTTTATACGAAATTCGCTAAAAAACCCAAAATCGCCATATTCAGGTGCCTTAAAAACCATCAAATAACGGAGTAGTTCGCTGTTTATTAGTCTCATGATTGAAATACTGATAGTTGGATAATATTCTGTTGGAAGAGACAAGGACAAGTGAAACAAGGAAGTTAGGAGTAAGGGCAAATTTTCGGCGTCAACGCCATCTTCAGGCTCAAATTATTTGTTATATAACAAATAATTTGAGCCTGAAGATGGCGTTGACGCCGAAAATTTGCCCTTACTCCTAACTTCCTTGTTTCACTTTTCCTTGTCTCTTCCAACCTTAAAAACCATGTTAAAACAGTTAGAGATCTGAAATTTTGCAGAGCGTCTAGATGTTGACCAAATCGACAGCAAAAAAAGTTTTAAGTTTCAGGAGCATCGGGAAGTGTGTTTTCCAGAACCCCTGTTTTACGACAGATTGTCGTGATACATATATATTCAGGGATAGACGCTTTGCCAGTCAAATGTAGTCAATTGTAGCCTGAATTTAAGTGTCCGTAGATTCAAAAGTATAAAAGATACAGCCATTTCCGACCACAGGTCTTAAAGATAATTGTTTACACTTTAGTTTAAATTATATGATTTAACGTCATTATCACCACTTGATGACGTCATCAAGTTAACCGTTTTTAAAACTTTATTTTTGACAAAGTAACAACTTTTCAAATCGATTTTACACCAACTTTGAGGGCATACTAAAGTTAGATAATTGTTCAAGCATTCTGAAAATCTACCGGAAAGTTTTTCTAGCTTGCTCCTTCATAAGGGTATTCGGCATTCGCTATTGGAGTTAGTGCTTTTTTGAAGAAAAATTATATAAAACTATAAAAACGCTAATTTTACGATCTAGTATACTCTGGTGTTGGGCCATCCCTTAGGTTGTGTAGCTCAGTTCTGCTTCCTAAAGGTCTAGATTGTGTCATATAGGCTAGTTTTAAAGTTGAAAATCAAAAAGTTGCACACATGAGGACAAATTGCACATAATATCTCGGTTCGGGATACTAGCCAAAATGACTTCATTAAAATTGAAATAACTCCATCAATTTTCAATATTTTTGCTCGAAATTTTCGAAATCGATTGATAATTGCATTTCAAGCTTATTGTGGGCAGCGATTTTTGATTTATTAATATAGGTATATAGGTATATTAAGGTCAGCCCCCCCCCCCCCCCACTGGATTAATTCTTCGTTAAAAAAATCTATTTTTATACTATTTAACTTTAAATGTAGCGATTAATTCTATTGATTCCATTTGACATTGTTATTATATAACGTGAATATAATGTAAGTATTATAATTCTTACAAGAACTATAATGAAAGTAACCAATATTAAGAACCTGATTTGCTGTCAACTTCTGGAGTCTGGACTCCACTCTTGTTTCCAACAATTACCACTTTAACAATTTCACAATCCCCAGATTAAACTTTGCCATTTGACAATTCATCCCTTAACAGTTACAATTTACCATCACTATATCACAATTCACATTCTCGTATTTATAACCTTCAACTTTACAGTTATCATTAACAATTTCACTCTCTATTTTGCAATTTACCTGCACGATTCAACATGGTTAACCAATGAAAGCTGAAGTGAATATCATCATTATCCGGGCGGGTTCTGACGTTGGTCTTAGTTGGTGGTGATCCCACTAAATTAATAGCTCTAAACCATGTTAAGCCATTTAACTGTCTGACAACTTGTTGAATTGCAGACTAATCTACTTTCAAGTATTTGAGATCATAGTCACGTAAATTCACGTCAATCTCCACGAACCAGATTCGAAAATGGTTAAACCAGTCACTTGCAGCGACCGAGGAATTGACAATGTCTGCAATCACACCCATGAAACATAGTCTATAATAATAGTCTATAATTTTTAGAAAGCCCTGCTCACGGCCAAAAAAGGCGAATTTAAGGCCACAGCGCATTTCACCATAAAACCACGTGACGATAAACCAAAAAAAAAAACACGTCACATTTCAAAACACGTGCGAGATTCTACTGAACTCTCCATCACAGGCGTCAGCGTACGCGTCTCCAGACAAGACGTTCCGGCCGGAAATGTTACTGGAGAGATTAGCCGAAAGTCTGGCAGCCAACAAGCAGAAATCAGTGTGGAAGAAGCATGAGGGTATAGAGGGACTTGTAGGGACATGATAACAGTGTTCAGTCTAATTCTAATAGGTTCAATTGGGTGGGACCGTGACACTTGAGATACAGAGATATCCCCGCCCTTCACAAGTATTGTTCGTGAACAAAGCTCAGATCAACCTTAGGCTGTTAAGCATTTATTTTTGTTGTTTCTATTTAGAGAATTGAAGTGGGTTGATTATTTCGGTTCCTTTTTGAACCACGGCCTTCCAGACAAGTCCCAACAAACGGACCCTACCAGTGTTGAATGTTACCATGGTTACCATGGTTACGCTGGCCAATCAGCAGGCTTGCTACAGGTCACCTGACTCTTACCAGCCAATAAGAGTGCTAGCTGTAAATCATGTGGTTTGGAAGCTGGCCAAGTGACCGAGAGCAGGTCTCCTGCTTGGTCAAACTGTACACTTTTGATAATATGCAAGACAGGAATTTATAGGTTTTGATAAGTTCGTATTATTTGTCAGTTTATATTTTCTGGAGTTATAATTTATTTTATGACAGTCACGCTATATTGAATCAAGACATATATATGTGTACATTAATTTATTGTTTTTACAATCTCAATGTATTTCTTCTTTAATCTAAATAGTGTTCAATGAAAAATCAAAACTCAAGTTTTGGGCAAAAAAAAACAGTAAATTCGAAAGTAGTATTTACAATTTACAGCATAAATAAATCCTGGACAGTAAGCAAGTAGAGCTGAGCTCGGAATCTCTCAAAGTGAGTTATCAGAATTAAGAAATTGAATTCACCGAACGTTATGTATATATTTTATTTGGTCAACATATGATCAAATAGATAGATTATTCAAATAGATTCAGGTCATAAGGGTAGACACGATACTTAGCTCATCAATTTCACTACAAGTTAAAAAACAAAAATTTCATAAAATTACATAGAACGAACATACGAAAAGACGACAACAATTTGCAAACTAAATGAATTAAATTATTTCCTATTGAGCTAGAGTCAAGATCAAATCATCCGGGATAATTCAATTGTTGTGTCGAAACAGTACCAGACCTAAGGTCTGAGTCCTTCAATGAACCCCGAAAGTGTGAAACTCCTTCAGAAAATTCCTTTTATCCTCGCAAATGAGGAGGGAATTATTCTGCGGATCTTTTGACTCCTCTGAAATCAGGTGCATTCTCCGCCGATCGTTTGACTCCTCTGAAATCAGGAGCATCTTCCGCGGATCTTTTGACTCCTCTAAAATCAGGAGCATCATTTGCAGATCTTTTGACTCCTCTAAAATCAGGAGCATCATTCGCAGATCTCTTGGCTCCTCTTAGATTTGGAATACCTTCCGCCGATCGTTTGACTCCTCTGAAATCAGGAGCATCTTCCGCGGATCTTTTGACTCCTCTAAAATCAGGAGCATCTTCCGCGGATCTTTTGACTCCTCTAAAATCAGCAGCATCATTCGCAGATCTTTTGGCTCCTCTTAGATTTGGAATATCTTCCGCCGATCGTTTGACTCCTCTTAAATTGGGAACATCTTCCGCAGATCTTTTTACTCCTCTGAAATTAGGAGCATCTTCCTCAGATCTTTTAACTCCTCTTAAACTGGGAGCATTATTCGCAGATCTTTTTACTCCTCTGAACTCTTCTGAGCCAAACCCAGCCCTGAAATTTGGGGCTTCATCTATTTTAAAGAGTGTACCTCCAGACCGTTTCTTCAAGACACCACATTCTCCCTCAGCTATCAGACAGATCATGATCACCAAAAGTTTGCTCGTCATGATGAGATTCCTCAAACAGTTCCTGAAACACTGAGGGTTAGACAGATACTTCTCCCAGTTATATCCTAGGTCTTGTCAAGTCACATGTCAAGTCACATGTCATGTCACATGTACTTGTTGGAGTCTGTCAACGGTTATATTTGGTTTTTGGCACGAGACTGTAGACAGAATGATCTGTTGGTAATCCTGAGATCCCGCAGACCTGTCACCAGATCGTGAGTCGACAAAACGTGCTCAGTACGAGAATACGATTCTCGTCTTCTCTCCAAGTCTTAAATCCAGTTTTTTGGGCCGTGCTTCACTAACCACTAGTCTGTCTTTGACAAAGTGCCACTCAAATTTTGAAATAAACGATTTTTTTCCGATCAGGTGTGACACCAAGCGGGCAAGTCATTGTTAATCGACCAACGTCTATCTGCAGCAGGTGGCTCTGTGCAAAAATTTGCGAGTGACTGGGAGCTTTGCTGCTTTCGGAGGAAAAGTTTCCAAGAAAGTCGAAATTCGCACCTATAATTTGAACACCAAGTTTGATTTTAGGAGATAATTTGTGCCCCTGCAAAATGGTAAGCGAGGACAGGCGATAAGAAATTCCAAAATTGTAAATACTAAACATTGGGTCAGTTCAAACCAACGAGCTGAAGTAAATTTGTTTGATTAATTCTTTTATAAAAATAAAATTTGGGGAAATTTTCGATCAAACATAGAATTAGAATCTCTTTCGTATTTAAAGCAATGCAAGGTCGTGTTAATGTTTCAAAAAGTCCGTCAAAATATGTAGTAAAATAGGTCAATAAAATTTGTTGTCTCCATACATCATATTATTTCAAAATCATTCGAATTGAATGTATTTTCATCATCGGTATTGTAAACCATAATAAAAATCCACGTTTCGAAAGAGATAATCAACTTACCAATTGAAATGAGAAGTGTACAGAGGAAATAAAGGTTACTTCAGAGAAGCTGCGAAGCTGACTTCAGAAACAGTAAACTACGGTCCTAATAAAGTTGGAACAGTTAGCAGGTTGAACTTGAATTATATTTAAGGTTTATATAGTATTCGGCTGACTACCGCGAGTTCAATTAAGACTTCTAATTCAAATTGGATGGACACAGGTTATTGAGTTATGAGTTACATGTTTTACCTAATTGTAAAAAGGTTCCGACGAAAAATTTCGCGTAAGTCAGGTTAAGTAAAGTTAATAGCCTTTTAAAAATTTTGTAAATCAAAACCTTTTTAAAATCTATAAAATCTGGACTCTTTGGATTAGGGTTACAAAATATTTTAGATAGTTGGTTATAAATGACGACTTAAATAGTCTGCAATTAACATGGGCAAATTAGCGCAGCTGATTATAAAGACATAATCGTAATCAGGACTCTTGAAGTAAAGACAGAACCGCTAAATTCTGGTTTAGGGGTCGGCAATCACTTTAACTACGTTACAGTACAGCTCTATTTTAAAGTCTGTTAACGGATGGTTATTTGAAAGTGTCTGAGCAGTTTATTAGATGCCACTAAGACACTAAGAGTTACCAAAGGGTTTCACAAAGTTTCGAAGGAAGCTCACCCGGAATATAGGAACTGATCCCGCTTTGATCAGTGCGAGAATTTATAAACGCGTATATTAGCGTCGCGTTACTGGCTCTCTCTCCCTCCCTCCCTCTCTCTCTCTCTCTCTCTCTCTCTCTCTCTCTCTCTCTCTCTCTCTCTCTCTCTCTCTCTCTCTCTCTCTCTCTCTCTCTCTCTCTCTCTCTCTCTCTCTCTCTCACTCACTCTCTCTCTCTCTCTCTCTCTCTCTCTCTCTCTCTCTCTCTCTCTCTCTCTCTCTCTCTCTCTCTCTCTCTCTCTCTCTCTCTCTCTCTCTCTCTCTCTCTCTCTCTCTCTCTCTCTCTCTCTCTCTCTCTCTCTCTCTCTCTCTCTCTCTCTCTCTCTCTCTCTCTCACTCTCTCTCTCTCTCTCTCTCTCGATATGATACTAGGCTTGCAAGTCGAGGTCAAGAAACAAGAATCACGCGGTTACCAGTTAGTGGACTTCATAATGTGTGAGGAGGTCGGTGGTTGAGCCAGTCGTAATCGTGGTGATCAGGCTCCTACTAAGCGGTAATACTAATATGTTCTCGGCTGGGTTTAAATTTAATCGCAATCAATTTTGAAAAACGGGGTATTTATATGATTAGAGGAATGATAAACAATGAAGTGGAAGCACGTACGTAAAAGTAAAACATGACCGGTAGATAAAGTTGTTTTGAAACTGGGTTTATTTTACAGTCATGTAAAAGATAAGTATGTTATATTATGACAGATTATTTTAAGCTGTCATACTCGTATAATATTCTGTCATTTGCATTTGTCATTATTTAATCTGACATACGTATCAAACTATCATTGACAATTGAAATATTGATATACAGTCAATGACAGATTATATTATAATGGATTGAACAAATTTATCCAACAATTTTTAATTTCTAAGATGTGAGAGCACTAATCACTATTTACTTATTTAGCACTTTATCTACTTATCTAAGCACTTTCTAAAAATAGTGGATAGTCATAACATAACTTCTCAACTTGTCAAATTTTATATAAACGCTTACGTCCAGGTAAAATGATGTCTGATTGAAATTAAATTAAAGATACACTTACAGCGAGAAAGTGAAAGATATCCGACTAAAATATTAACTGATAAAAGTATTCACCTCGTACGTATTATAAAATAAGTAGATATATAGTAAAAAGTAAAACGACGCTATAAGAGCATATAACTATAAGAGAGCTAGATATAGTTGACAACCGACGGTATCATAAAGTGAACCTTTAGGGTCTGCCCACACTACGCCATGTGGCGACGGGCCACATGGCCCGATTAACCTAAACACACTGTGCCACTTGGCGTGGATTTAGGAAATCTGCGCCTCTATTCAGAGGCACGGATTTCCTGCCCACACTACGCCATGTTGCGACGGGCCACATGGCGTGGGTCAAAAGTCACAGTGTGTTAAGGGGCCGGCTCCCTCTAAGAATCCACTATAGTATTGTCACACTGGCAGACAACGCCCTTGTCACCTCCAGATCATTGTTTATTGTTCATTTTTCATTATTTACACAGGGCCAGAAAGCGGGAAAGCAAGCTCAGTAGTTTATATTATTGCAAAGTTCCGAACTGTACATTATCCGGGGTTATCCGGGGTTATCCGGGGTTATCCGGGGTTATCCGGGGTTATGCGGATGTAATAAATAGCGACGGCAAGGATCTGCTGGAAGCTGGCTCTGCAGCTAGAGCCCGTCTGCATCAATCAGTATAGGTTTTTAGGAGTCCTGCTATGACCATAATGATATGATGAATTGATCCTGATACAAAGTAAAGATTAATGAAGCTGAGGAAGCTTTACAATCCTGGTTTACCCGAGATTTCGCCACAGATATAGCAGCGTCCAATTTAGAAATTAAACATGTAAAAGTAATACTAATGGCAGATGCAGGAGAAAAATCTTTTTGAGTTTGACCACAATTTCTTGTATAACGGATATACTCATATAGAAAAGTCTACGTTGCGGTTAAATAGAAATTTCCAACACCGCAAAATAACGTCCACTCGTCCAGCTCCTCTAGATAAAGACGTCCAGTGCTAGTACTTCAACTTGTAGTTGTACTTGTAGGTAGAAATGTCCAGAGCTGCTAAATATTAGAAACGTCCAGCATTGCTAGTACTTTATTTAACTATATAGAAAAATCCAGTACTGCCAAATTAAAACGTCCAGCTCTGTTAGTGCTTACAAAAACTTCCAAAACTGTCAAAATTTAAAAAATGCCCAGCTCTACCATCTAGAAGTAGAAGTAGAAACGTCCAGTACTACTTCATGGACACGTAATCCAGGCAAACTCGTAAACTGGTAACTTAAAGCAAGCTGGACAACCAGGTGGTAATCCGACGTTGTCTGCCCAATAATTTACTTGATGAAATAAAATTATTGGGAGAGGCTGTGTGAAACGGTTCACGACCAGGCCAGGTGGTAGAAGGGTGATAATACCGCACAACCCTGTTTAGTGTTTATAAGCTGGTGGCGCAGCTTTTGGCGGTACGCGCACCACAATGTTGAAATGGTAATTTAATAAATATTGCCCATTTTGCGATTGTAATTACATCTCCTGTTCACCCCCTGTCACGTGACCTCGAGGGGTGTAATAGCTTGCAGGGTTATTACACGTGACAATGACTTGTATCTTGTATCTTAGTAATAGTACAGTTTCTAGCGGTCACTGGCATTACCATGGCTATCAATAGTGATGATGGATCTAAACTTCAATTGTCCTCGCCTGATAAGATTGAATTGACATATCAGTGCTCTGTGTTTTTGGCGGTGCAGTTCGATTTACGAAAATTGTTTACCTCTGCATGGATAAATCATTATCACGTGAATAACAATATCTGTATCTAAAATTATGTAAATATCATCGGACAAACAAGAATGGTGTAATCAGGAAATGAAAATATTTTCTGTTCATTGTCGGTCAACTTAAAATTTGCGACGTTGGCTTGAGCAGCTCATTTATACTGAATACTACGTTTATTCTTCTTGTTCTAATCTTTTCTTCTAAACACTAAGAGCACAAATAACAAACACTTGAAAACACGAAAACTCTATGGAGGTCAAAACTGAAATGTCCAGTTTGTTTCTCAAACAAAAAAGCCCAACTTAGTTGGATCGAAGTTGGCAGATTTAGGAAAATTTAAAATCTCGCTGTCTATTGTCAAATTTTCCCACACCAGTTTCGGCAACCATATATTTTTACAGGCTCTACTTAGTAAAAGAGTTAGTCTGTTGAATTGTGTAAATGATGAATGTAAGTTAAACAATTTTCTGGATTTTTCATGGCTTGATCAGGTGAACCTAGTGATTGTATTGAAAAGTTCCTCCTGGCAAGACAGGAGGGTAAGACCCCTAAAAATTAATACTACTAATTTTAATTGGTAATAAGCATGTAAGTGAGAAAGAAGGGCGTAAACTCAAGCCATCTTGGTCTGTGCAATCCTCATGGTCGCCCATGAGAACTGTTAAAACAGAAGATGAACTGCCTTAATATAAGTTTATATACAGCCATGTGAACCTAAATACTTAAATAGTCGGTTTTCAACTTCTCTACCAATTCTAGATCTAACGACATATAAATCCAGCAGTCGGCACAATGACGCAAGGTAAAATACACAATTCCACGCCCTAGACCCCGGTTATTGCTCAACCAATGTTAGAAAAGGGTAACGACCTGGCAAAGCTGAGACCCACAACCTGGCTATCTTATCCCCACTGTTTTCCTGCCCCTACTCCGCCCCATTGTTCCCCCTATTGTGGAGGATCAGGCAAGGACAAACCCACACTAAGATGCTGAGTACAACGACAGGAGCAAGGGACAATGGGGTTTATAGTGTTTACCTTGATTAAAGTTTTTAGGGGAGCAGCAGTGATCTTTAGCTTTACAAATACAAGCATAATGTTGCAGTTTCAGGTATTTGACCATGATATCAACACGTGAATGATGCCGTTTAAAGATAAAGTAATGATCCCTCTACAAGGATCATTATTTACCCCCTGAATAGTGGATAGGTCGAATACTCTGGAATACAAATAACCTTTGTAGTGTTTGTCTAATATGATTCGGTTTAGACTTAGAGAGAAGTTAATTTAACTTACAATAGAAGTAAACACATAAAAATTATAAGCTTTTTGCATTCTTGAAAACGCTGCTTTTTAGAAGCAATTCTATTGTAAGATCGTGCCAAGGGACGATATCATTATCAAAAAACTGCACTGAGTCGAACTCTTTGACTAATTATTGTTCCATGCCCAATGGACGATCTGAACGAGGATGCACACGAGGATATGATTTCCATAATTTCGTCGAAATTTCATATAGGTATCCTCGCGGTATCCTCACGGTGATGGAAATGTCCATCATCGTGCACAATTTCCCACGAGGATGATTTCCTCGCGATGAAATTA